TACTTAAGAAATAGAGTGAATATATCTAATAATATCTAATGTTGTAATTTGTAAAAATTTAAACTTCAAACGCTCATAAGAATTTAATTTGACTTTCTTATAGAAATTTTTTTTTGATTAAGGTAGATAACCTTATATGAGGAATCTTGTATTACATTTTAAAATCTCGTTCCTAAATAAAGAATTTTTTTGTTCGTCAATAGTTTTAAAATAGTTTTAATATAATTTGTAGGTAGTAATAAATTGATTATAATATACCTATATAGTTATTTTGTTTTTAAAATGTTTAATTTGTTTATTTCATACAAATTAACACCGATAAGACCACAGTGACTGACTTGAAATTATGTAAACATTGTTAATATTATCGTATATTAATATGAATATATTTATTATTGTCGTATATTAATATAATAGCTTATTAATCATTATATTAATTAATTTTCTAAAAAAAAAAAATATAAAAACTTTTGCTCTAAATATTATTAAAATTCCTATACTTAATATGTATAAAAAATATAATTGTTCATGTTTCACTAAAAAATGAGCGAAATTCTGATATGTTCCTTCACATGAAAAAGTAACTACCCTAAGTCCCTGTTAAGTTACTGAAAATTGAACGAAATCACTGGAAATAGTTCATTTGAACGCTTGAGCACTGCCGCTAACCTATTATCTCTGTTCTACACCTACGGAAGGTCGGAATTTACTAATATAAAATAACAACTCATAAGAACAATTAATTTCTTCCCCATTATTCTGGCAATCCGGTGTTATATATTAATATATTATTATAAATACAATCCATTTTGAGAAAAGTTGCAATCACTTAATGGATTTTGGTAAATTACTATGCATACGGGCATTTATAAACTATATTATTTAACAGTTAATCACTTATCAGTTATTACTTGATACTTATTAGTTATAACTAGTATTAGCTACGTATTAAGTATTAATTATTATTTATTAATGTCCACTTAATTACATGAAAACTTGTGTTTGGTCCCGATTTTGAGATTATTCATGATAACTTTTATTGTATCAAAATATGATATCTGTAGTACAGAATAATTAATTTTATTATTATACGAGTATCTGTTTTAAGCATATTATAAATTATAATATAATATATCTATACGGTTATAATCGATAAACTAAATTGATAACTGTGTAATTGAAAAAAAATAAAAATTGTGACGGTACAGAATATTTCGTTGTATTGTATTCTCTAATTTAATCTATATAATATAGATATTAATACTTAATACTGTGGGCAAAAAATAATTTCAGGCCATGTATTAATGTAAATATTATGAAAAAAATAAAAATGTTATAATCATTAGGTAGGTATAGGTACAATGTACATAGATAAGTACATTTTAAAATATTTTGATGGTTTTTTAGCTATAAATAGGCATAAGAAAATATCGATTTTTATTAGTTTTTTAAAAAATTACTGTCGACAAAAATTGCATGTTATATCAAAAAGCTTAAAAACCTAATACAAGGTTCCTCATAAGTTTTTAATAATACCTACTGGAATTAAAATTAAAAGTTGAGCGTAATTCCAGAAATATTTTTTACGAAGTTAAAAGTTCTCTGAAGTTTGACGAATTAGGATTATTCAAGCTTGAAATAACATTTTTGATCTTTTGTTTTAATTCAAAATCGGATAATCGTAACTAGATACTTTAAATTTTTACCAAATGTTTATAGTAGCATTTTCATTACATGCTATAATTTGTGTTGTTTCTTTTTGAGCTATTTCCTTGACATGTTTATATTTAAAACATTTTTCTATACTTAATTAATATCATTAAAACATTAAAACATTTCACTAGTTATTAACACAATAATAAGTGTAAATAACAACAATTCACTATTAATATTCATAGTATAATAAAATTGTATAATAAATGCAATGTTTTCAGTAGGTAAACATTAAACCAATACCTACCTACTATAATACAAATACCTGTGGTTATTAAAAGGTATAGTTATGTATATTTAAAAATCTTCAATTTTGTGTTTTTTCTTTAAACACAACTCCTACACTATAATATAATATGTTATTGTGAGACCAGTTTAAACTCTGGTATATTGATCCAAGTATATGATACTTGGAGGTAACAATTTATAACCTGACCTCCAAATAACAACGGTTATCTCTTATGCACAACCTATCACTAATTTATTTCAATTTATTTAGTTCATAGGCTATATTATATCATGACGAAGTGTCGAAGTAAGTTTGGTCATATTCATGATTTCATGAATCATGAGTTTCGACAAATTATAATGGTCTCATTGACCACGACTGCTGTAGACTACTCTCTTATGATGATATTGACTATATGTTCACAAATTAATGTCAAGTCAATCTGGGTGTTCTTATCGGTCAGTAGCCACTAGCCTCTAAGTAATAGATCACTTGCTAGTTTCTATCTACCATAACCCACCTCAAAAGTTATTTCTATATACGCCACTGTATGATAGTAATATATTATAATCTCATGTAATTTTTGTATAAATCAACTCGTAAAATTATTAATTCATATTATAGTTGTTGTTGAGATATTATGTTTGTCTAGTATATTATATATTTCTAGCATGACAATATTATGTATTTATAATATAATTATATTCAATGTATATTTGAAGAAATAACATTTTAAATTTAGGCGATAAATAATTTATTACTTTGTTAAATCAATTCAATATTTTTCGAACTTTTGAAATGGTAAAAGCACAAATCTTTCAAAATGTATTACCTATGGTTCTAAGGTTTTATTGTCTATCGCCTTAATGAAAGTTTTATTTTTTTCCATTTAAAAACTTTATTGTTGGAGACTTATTAGGTACATCATACATATTATTATTATGTGTTACGTAGGTATCTCGACAGGTGTTCGACGATCGAAATTACGTTTTTAATTCAATATGATTAAATATTCGTACCTTTTCAATGCATTCATATTTATGAGTGCCGAGCGGCGCGATAAATGAATACATAGCCAAATCAAAAGATTTTGCAATTATGTGTGTGTTTCTTTTTTATTGTAGTTTCTATAGATTACAGTTGTACGGTAAGAAGTTGAAATAATGCTTCGATTATTAATTTCGGCATCTTTCTACGGCTGCATTTGAGAGGTCAACATTAAAAATTCCCAATAGTTTTCAAGAACGTCGAAAAAACAAATAGAATTATATTTATTTAGGAAAACGGGAATTTTTACGCAAAACTAGTTTTTGACAAAATCGGTTTTGTTTTTTAGGGTTAACTAAAAAAAATAACTGTAGATTATTGTTTTTCACGGATTGATATCCTATAGCATTTTCTATGTACTGAAAATGTTCAAAGAAATTTGACTCTTTTTGAGCTATTTATAATGGGCAAAAGAAATGTTTTATATTTATTGGTTTTTAAAATTATTGTCGACAAAAAATTGTAATTTTAAATTTCAAATTTTTAAATTAAAAACCTCAGAAGTTGTAATAATAGCAGTTCAAAAATATTAAAATTTAAAGGTGTAAAAATGTCTATAAGAAAGCCAAATTAAATTTTTATGAATGACTTTGAAGTTTATATTTTTATAACATTAGATATTCACTCGATTTGTGGTGATTTTCTTATTTTGTTGTAATTCAAAAATGAATAACCGTAGACCATAGGCGCAATTTCAACTTTTGGCTTGGGGGGCTGAATATATTAAAGGTAAGCAGACCATTGCAATATAGCATATTAAAATTGTATGTTCTAGATTTTTGGGGGGGCTATGGCTAAATTTGGGGGGGCTTAGCACCCCCAAGCCCCCCCAATTTGCGCCTATGCCGTAGACTCTTGAAATTTATATCATATGTTTATTTTATCGATTCCTATACTTGAGTTATTAACGGACAATCGATAATTATAATTTTTTTGGTTTTTTTCTCTATAAATATCTTATAATATTTTTTCTTAAGCATTTTAAGTTCAAATGTTGACAAAATTTATCAAATTTAAAATTTAATAATTATTTTATGCCTAGTTAAAAATGTATAAAATGTTCAACTTTTATAGCTAAGGATCGATAATTTAAAACAAGGTTCCACGTAAATAGGTTGTACCTATATAAATTATTTTACTCACAATAATATCATCAAATATACTTGGTAATATCAATATATCATTGGCTGACTCTGCTTTTAGAATCGTTTTTCTTATACAATGATATTATGTCATTGAATTCAAATTTAACACCATCCATTATAGTGACCCACTTGTAACCTACTGTACAGCAGAGCATACCCACTTGCCCCCTTTTTATATGTTTATTATGCTATACATATAGTTATAAAATAAAATAAATTTAATTAATAAGACATGTAAAAACCTGGAATACGGACTAAATGGTTATTGCCTATTGGATTATTATTGTTTTCGTGGCAAATCTAGCAAAAATACATGGTAAAATTTTTTTTTTAATTTTTTTTATTCAATCGTATACCTAGTTTAAGTTAATTTTTAGTCATGCTTTTTTTTACTTTTTCCAAACAATTGTATCCTTTTTTTATTATTAATACTGCTATAAAATCCGAGCCCTACTTATCACTTACACAGACACGAAACAATTAAAAATACGCAGAAACTAAAATACTTACAGAGAAAAAAACATTCTAGTTTTCCGTAAATCAGTAAATCCGAAGCTTTAAAATACTTATTAAGTTGTAATAGGTATCTTAATTCGTTCAATAAATATTAAATACTAAATGACTGAATATCTTAGAAGTTAAATTTGTAGTATTCTGGTATTCAGTATTCAAGAATCAAGATAGCTACACATTTTTCCAGATTAATAATATTATTAAATTTTGTTAGATTTTAATAACCCTCATTATTCCATCGTTCGTCAATCATTACAGTTATGTATGTTACGAGTGATTGATGCCGTATAGTATGCGTTATTAGTGTTTATAATATTTTCAAAATAAATTATAAAACACGATAATTTAATTAAATGGAGAAAGTTATTCGTGAGATTGGTGGTTCGAGAGGCACAGGACTTACATACAAAGACGACGATGGATATACTTATTGGAAAAATCGACAATGTCGAATGCACTTAACTATTCGTTGTGCATCCTGGAGAGCTGGGTAAATTTTATAATTTTAAACAATCACCTATATTTCATTATAAAAAATTACCTACCTTTCTTTTCTTTACATTAAAATATTTAAAGATTTAGAAGTCATAAATTCGATTTAAGAATTTTTTTGTCTTTTCACCTCATTGTCATCCAGGCTACTGCAGGTATAGATTTAAAATAATGAAATTTTGCTGACCATGGTTAGTACTGCAGTGATCTTGCTGTACTAGTAGATTTTATTCTAAATGGTTGTGTTATTAAGTAATAGTGTATACCATAGGTATTATGTAATTTAGTAATTTATTATTAGTAGAGGAACCTATATATGTTTATATTTTAAATATTATTTTCTTTTTTAGTTGTCGTGCAAAAGGCAAAGTTTTTAATAGCGACACTTCGAAAGTTTTTTTGACGACAGGCCACGAAACTCATCCAGAAAATCAATTGGCATTAAGGGTCGGGCCACACTATCCGTTTTCACCGGTCCGTTTGTCGCGTTGGTAAACGGATGCATTTTTACCGGATTGTGGTTTGGCGGCCAGACCATCCGTTTTTGTAATCCGTTTTTATTGACGTAAAGTTTTCCCGCCATATTTCAAAACATTAATCCCATTTCCCACCAAAATTATGTTACTGATAGCGTTGTACCACATGTCCACATTCCACACAACATATTTTGCACGACGAATTAAAATTTAAATTCAATTTGTCATATTTTGTGCTGTGCTCTTGCAGGTACTTCATCGTTTATTTTTCTTTTAACGTACTTGTTTCAAAAAACAAATTAAACCTAATTTAAACAAAAATTAATATGAATAAACAAAAGAAAATTAAAATCATTTGCTTATTGGAAGCACAAGGTTTTTTAAATGAAGAAAAGTCTCCAATAAACAGACGATATTGGGTGCATCCGTTAAATCGAGAACGTGAAGCACAATTTCAATATTTTTATTCAAACATACGGCAATATCCTGAAAAGTTTTTCGAATATTTTCGTATGACAATAAAAACTTTTGACGAATTATTGGGCCGAATACGTGAAAGTATTACAAAGAAAATAACTGTACTTAGAATGCCTATCAGTGTAGAAGAAAGGTTATCAGTTACTTTGAGGTAAGTACATACCTACCTATTTATTAAACAGAATTTACCTATTTATAAGAGCATTCAATTTATATAGGTATTTATAGTATACACTAATGTATTATAATCATTAATCAGTGGCTATTTTTTTTGCACTTCAACACACTTTGCCAATTAAGATTTTTTATAGATAAGGCACGGTTCCATATTCAACCTTACTGCGGATGTAAGAAGACATTGTTATTTTTCAAATTGAGTTTTTGAAAATAAAAAATGTTTAAATTGTATTCATTATTGGGTCTAATGTATAATTAATTAAAAAGATATAACCTTTGCTATAACTGTGTATGCATTTTCAATATTCATATAAAATACTAAAAAGAATAATAATGTTGTAAGCAGGGGTAATCTGAGGCACGTAAGGTCCAGTTGGGTATAGGTTTTAAAACTACCAAACAAAAGACTCATGTTACAATGTTTATTTTAAATAAAATAACTTTTTAAGGAACTTATAACAAAATTAAAACAATTCTGTAGTTATTACTCAACTAAATTTAACATAATAAAAAAACAAGTTACTTCAATATTAAAATCTTAAATCTTTTTCAATACAAATAAAATAAAATTCAAAAATAAATGTATTGTTTTTAATTTAAATACTATTTTTAATACTAATTAGTAATTACTATTATTGTTTTAAAAAATTATTAATTACTATTATTGTTTTAAAAAATTATTAAATTACACATATTCGTTACACAATAAATTCCAAAAATGAATCTAAAATAACTTTAATAGCCTTCGCGAGTTCCAGTTGTTTAATTTTTGTAAATAGTACCTATTGTTAATTGTTATATTATTGTATTCTTCATTTTTGCGGTAATGATTACGGTGTGGAATTTAAAAATTATTAAAAATAACAAATGTAGTTCGAGGTCCAAACATAAAATTTCTAGAGGGCCTGGGTGGGTATGGCCACTTACCCGCCCTGCCTGTCCGCCCCTGGTAGTGAGGTACCAAGGAAAACATTACAAATGTTTTAGTTGATGGTGTAGGTATTTAAACACTATAGTGTTTGTGAGTGCTGATTTAATGTTTAATAAATAAATTAAGTTCTTATTATTATAGTTATAATTAAATAAAGTACATATCATGGATAGACGGATAGTACTAAAATGTCAAAAGAAAGTAGACTATAATAATATAACTATGATGGATTTATTATATATGTATATATGCAGTCAAAAATATGTTTTTCAATTATTAAGTCTATAACCGAAGCAATTGATTTTTTAATATTTTACTATGGTGTGAGCTAGGATAGTAACCTTTTGTTAATATATCATATTAAGTATTAAAATTACAATTGTAAAGTTTATTACATGTAATAAACATAATAAAACCTGTAAGAATATATAAGATATAGTATAGTAAAATACAATTTGCATTTAACCCTATTACTACAATCATACTAGTTATCAAATTCAAATACTAGTGTTCACTCCGGAAAATGTGTAAAAACCACTGTTATTTTTCATTTTAAAACACAAAAAATGTGTACATAATATATCTCAGCATATTCATGTTTCAATGTTATTGAATTTTGTTTCTTTTTGCATATTTTGTGTCCTTTATATTATATGAAAACTATTATTACCTATAATAATTCCATCGGTTGTTTTTCAAAATTCTGCTTGTATAGTTTTGTTAAGTATTTAAAAACAAAAAAAAATAACTAGTTTATTGGGCGTACTTTATTGAAACATAATATTTAAGTATTATTTCCAAATTGTCCTTTTAATACAAACAATAACCAACATAGTACCTCTAAAAGTTGTAAAATTATTTAATAACAAAACTTATAATGATTTTCTTTTTAAACATAAAAATAAAAAATAGTTTGTCCTTTTCATAGTAACAGTAACAACATATTATATAAAAGTTATAAAAAAAATTAAAAACAAAACTTATAATAACTTTCTTTTTAAACATAAAAATAAAAAATAGTTTGTCCTTTTCATAGTAACAGTAACAACATATTACATAAAAGTTCTAAAAAAAATTAAAAACAAAACTTATAATAACTTTCTTTTTAAACACAATAAAAAAAAAAAATAGTCCTATTAATAGAATACTATAACAACATAATTAAAAAAGTGGTGAATTATTTAACAACAAAATAAATAACTATATAAAATCAAAACTAAATTGGTTTACAAGGGCTGGTATGAATTTTGAGAATGTGTTAAAAATTGTGAATAAGGATCTGCTAGACTATATGACTGTGTTGTCTGATTGTTTGCTGATATAGGAGGGCGATACAAGTGACGTTGTTCTATTTCTTGTATTATTGGTTGATTAAATAACGGTGGCATAGGTCTATTAATATTTTTAAAAAATTGTAACATTTGCATTTGAAAATCTATTTTCTGGTCTTCGTTTAATTTTTTATATTTCGGTGAAAACGACAACAGCATCATATTATCGGGATCTTGCAAAATATTAAGCTCAGGTTCTTTCAACAAATCCAATAACTGTGATTGAAATGCATTTGTTTGAGGTACATTTCTTTTTGATTGCCGAGCTGCCGAGGGTGATCGTTGTTTTTGGCTTATGTTTTCTGTTTGAGGTTCTAATGGTTGTGAATTTAAATCATTAACATAATCACTACTAATGTTTAGATTTAAATCACTATCATTTTCAGCAATTGAATCATGCTCCAATGATGGTGTTTCAATATTTTCAAAATTTCCACTTGTCCTATAATTAGCAATTGTATCAAAAAATAATACAAAATAAATCAATGATGGTATATATGATTAGATAATGACTAGTAAAATTCAATATTTAATTTAAATCACCTTCTTTTTACGAGAGATTGTTGCAAAAAAGATAACGAATCAGCATATATGTATTTTTTTCTTGATTTTGCTGAATCGCCACTTTTTCCTTGGTTTAAATATCGCATGTAGTTATCTCTGATATGACGCCAAGTATTTTTCATAGCTTTCTCTAGAAATATTAATTGCATTAATTATTGTTTTATATATTATAATGATACTGTCTCTAAAACGCCAACACCAAACTTAAGAAATGGATATTTCTGAACTTCTGCTAGTAATTATAGTAATTTTATCTTATTTAAAATTTTTTTTTTTTTTTTATAGGTATTTATCAACTGGCTTATCTTTTAAGGCACTCACATTTGACTTTAACTTAGGTAAAAGTACAATCAGCTGTATAGTTTTTGAAACCTGTCAAGTCATATGGACGATTTTACAACCAACAGAAATGCCTCAGCCAACAAATGAAAAGTGGATTGAGATTTCAAAACAATATTACCTCAAAACTAATTTTCCAAACTGTTTAGGAGCAATTGATGGCAAACACATCAGGTGTAAAAATCCTAATAATTCAGGCTCAAACTTTTACAATTACAAGAAATTTTTTTCTATCATATTAATGGCAGTAGTAGATTCAAATCTATGCTTTACCGCAATAGATGTCGGAGCTTATGGAAAGGAAGGGGATTCAAGTGTCTTCAAAAATTGTCCATTTGGAAAGAAACTCTATTCAAACCAACTTAATATTCCAGTCCCAGTTTGCTTACCTAATGTTAATGATAATCCTCAACCATTTGTCTTCATTGGAGATGAAGCATTTGCACTTCATATCAATCTTCTTAGACCATACCCAGGACGTGGTTTAACATTAACGAGAAAAGTATTTAATTATCGCCTATCACGAGCCAGGCGCATGGTCGAATGTGCTTTTGGAGTTTTAGCCAACAAATGGCGTATTTTACATACTCCAATACAGGTTGAACCAGATTTCACTGATATAATAGTCAAGTCATGTTGCATGTTGCACAACTTTGTAAGAGTAAGAGATGGGTATAACAATGAGGATGCAGAAACCCACTCTTTGGATGACGTTGAAGCACATGCTACAGGTTCTCGATCACAAGGAATTGCTGTAAGAGATTACTTTGCTAATTATTTTATGGGACCTGGAGCTGTACCATTTCAGTATAATAACATGTAACTTTTTAAAAACCATTGATTTTTATATTTTCAAATTAAAAATAAAGTAGGTAATTATACAAATTGTATAGATAGTTAAACTATAATAGGTAATAATTGTAAAACCTTTTATGATTTACAGAATACTGTATGTTTTATTCAATAAATAATTTTGATGCTTGAAGTAAATAAATAAGTATTAATATAAAATTGAATATGTATAGGTATAATATTGTGTATATGTCATTGTTATATTATGATGTAATAATATGAATTAATTTGTTTGATTTAGTATAAAATATAAAATAAGGAGGTAGGTAGGTACCAACTTATTTTGTATGTTTAAAATTTTCTTTGTTATGTTAAATAAAGTAAAATTGTATTATTACTGCCAAGGCG